GTTGATAATAAATCCATGTGAAAACAAATTTAAGGTCCAAGATTTCATTTTCATCTGTCTTAGACTCTAACCAACTGAGGTGGTACATCTCAACTGACTTCACATTTACCTTTTTACCTCAATTGCTTGGTAGTTTACAGTGGTTGATGAATGCTCAGGAGAGGACAAATGAGCAAATAAATGAGGAGAAAATCAAATATTTGTGAAAACACTCATAGCTGTGGAGGTGAAAAGAGGGCATAAGTCAATGAAGGAAATGGAAAAAAAAACATGCTATCTTCACAGATGGTGATAATAGTTAACAACTTCTCAATTTTACCCTGCGTATGGACCATTTTATTTTCTTGGCCTCCAAAATCACTGTGAATGGTGACTTCAGCCATGACATTAAAAGATGATTGCTCTTGGAAGGAAAGCTATGCAAACCTAGATAGCATATTACAAAGCAAAGTCATCTCAGCTGACAAAGGTTCATCTAGTGAAAACTATGGTTTTTCCAGTCGTCATGTATGGATGTGAGAGTTGGGCCATGAAGAAGGCTGAGAGTGAAGAATTGATGCTTTTGAACATGAATGTGTTGGAGAAGACTCCTAAGAGTCCCTTGGACTGCAAGGAGATCAAACCAGTCAATCCTAAAGGAAATCAACCCTGAATATTCATTGAAAGGACTGATGCTGAAGCTGAAGCTCTAATACTTTGGCCACCTGATGTGAAGAACTGACTCATTGGGAAAGACCTTGATGCTGGGAAAGATTGAAGGCAGGAGAAGGGGGAGACAGAGGATGAGATGGTTAGCATCACCAACTCAATGGATGTAAATTTCAGCAGACTCTGGGAGATAGTGAAGGACAGGGAAGCCTGATGTGAGCAGTCCATGAGGTCACAAAGAGTTGAACACGACTTGGTGGCTGAACAACAACATGAATCATGGGGGATCTTGGTTTAGCCAGAGATTCCACAATTTTGACAAATTCTCAGAACTTGAGGTTCCACCAAAGAGCATGCCTTGAGTAACAAGTCTTTAAATGATCTACATATGCATGCCTCTGAAAAAAAAATGCATAAGAGAAGCCCATAGCTCAGCATGAATTCAATATTCTCTGGATTAAAAAAAAAGCAACACTGTAGATTCAACTGAAAGAAGTAGGGAAGAAAGCATATTAATTGATATGATGGAAGAAAGAACAAGTTTATGTAATTTTACAAGGGCATAAAAGTCATTTCTAAAGCTCTAGTTTATTAAGAAATCTGGTTCAGTGGTGGTTGCAATATATTATTTACCTCCAATATTATTTTAGGTAGTTATAATTAGTCACACATCACAGCATGCCACTTAGCTGCTCACATTTAAGTATCCGTCACTCGCTTCTTGAGAGTTATATCATTTCCTTCCTTAGACCATTTCTCTCCCATGTAATATTTTATTGAATTGCTATTAACCTTCACCAGGGGAAATTATTCATTTCTTCTGACTTCCTTATTTTATTTTTTTGGTTCTCTATTCAGATGTAATTTTTAGATTGTTCATTAGCTTTGTGAAACTGTGGGAAGAAAGTATTTGACAGAAATCACACACAATGAGAGAAAAGAGTTTCAGTCAAGATTTCATTAACACTATAAAAGGAAGGGTGATATTTTATATCTTAACTTACTGTGGATAGGAAAACAAGTCCTTCTTCAAGAAGACCACCAACTAAGAAGCATACACTAGTAATACAGGAGAATAGAAACTTCATAACTCTACCCTTTGAAAGATAAACCTGTTCAACAGGTGAGAAATGAAATAATAAATCACCAGATAAAGAAAATGATTATGGTTCCATATGTACCTAGATGAGTCCACATGGAGAATTGTTATCAGGCTTATAGGTCATAGATATTAAATGCTTAATGGAACGTATGAAAGAAAAAGTATAAAACCTTCTAGATAGTGACTATTTCCATAGCATTAGCAAAGTATACAACAGAGGTAGTGAAAATTCAATTATGTTCTCCTGAGAATTTATTTAAGGTAAAGTCTAAAGCCTGAACTGCAGGCTGTATGAAGCACAAGCTGGAATCAAGATTGCCAGGAGAAATATCAATAACCTCAGATATGCAGATGACACCACCTTTGTGGCAGAAAGTGAAGAAAAACTAAAGAGCCTCTTGATGAAAGTGAAAGAGGAGAGTGAAAAAGTTGGCTTAAAGCTCAACATTCAGAAAAGTAAGATCATGGCATCTAGTTCCAACACTTTATGGCAAATAGATGGGGAAACAATGGAAACAGTGACAGATTTTATTTTCTTGGGCTCCAAAATCACTGCAGATGGGGTCTGTAGCCATGGAATTAAAGGACGCTTGCTCCTTGGAATAAAAGCTATGACAAACCTAGATAGTGTATTAAAGAGCAGAGGCATTACTTTGCCGACAAAGGTCTGTCTAGTCAAAATCATGGTTTTTCCAGTAGTCATGTATAGATGTGAGAGTTGGACCATAAAGAAGGCCGAGTGCCAGAAAACTGACAGTTTTGATCTGTGGTGTTGGAGAAGACACTTGAGAGTCCCTTGGACAGGAAGGAGATGAAGCCTGTCAATCCTAAAGGAAATCTATCTTCAATATTCATTGGAAAGACTGATGCTGAAGCTCCAATGCTTGGGCCACCTGATGTGAAGAGGATACTCACTAGAAAAGACCCTGATGGGATGACCCAGAGGGATAGGATGGGGAGGGAGGTGGGAGGGGGTTCAGGATGGGGAATACATGTAAATCCATGGCTGATTCATGTCAATGTATGGCAAAAACTACTACAATATTGTAAAGTAATTAGCCTCCGACTAATAAAAATAAATGAAAAAAGAAAAGAAAAGAAAAGTCCCTGATGCTGGGAAAGATTGAAGGCAGGAGGATAAGGGGGACAACAGAGGATGAGATGGTTGGATGGCATCACTGATTCAATGGACATGAGTTTGAGCAAGCTCCAGAAAATGGTGAAGGACAGAGAAGCCTGGTGACTGCAGTCCATGGGGTTGTAAATATTTGGACATGACTGATTGACTGAACAAAACACCTGAAATGGTACTCAAGACTCTTTTTGATCCGATCTCTGCACAACCATGCAACTTCTGACCTTAAACTTGGTGTCCAGTGGTGACAAACCATTTGTGTTCTCCAGATCTTATACCTCCATTGCACACAGGTCTGCAATATCCTTCTTTTTCTTACCTGCCTATTAAATTTCTACTCTTTCTTCAAGATACCGTTTGAGAATAACTATTTTTGTGATGTATTGTCCAAAAACCTCAGGGAAAACCAACTACTTCTTCCACTTTGTTCTATAGCATCTTGCATATGTAATTATCTTGAGTCTTTACTACATAAAATATAATTACATTATTATTTCTGTATTGTAGAATTGAATATTCATTCATTTTAGTATATTCATTTATTCATTGCTCATTGAATGCTCACTAATTAATTTTAACATATTTTTAAAAAGTATCATTATTACTAATCACTAATTTGAGATTATCTTTTTAATTTAGTATTCCCTATTTCACTTCCCTTAGGATGGGTCTCCAAGGACACCTCACTAGTACAGGCCATTACATTTTCACAGTTGGACTGAGACATTGTTTTAACTGTCTTAGCACCCAGTCCTCCCCCTGTCCAATTTTGTGCATAACTTTGAAGATAATCTTCCCTAGATACCCATTCCCATATAAAATATTTTAGTAATCCTCATTTGCTAATTTAACCAAATGTTAACTAAATATTACATTGTAAGCCTTTCTCTATATCTTGCTTTCTATCAATACTCTGTTGATGTATCTCTCTGTTTTGAGCTCAAGGATTTTGACAGATTGCTTGCAGTGAGAAATCCCTTCCTGTTGATAGCTCAGCAGCATTTAACTCACATTCTACTTCCTTGCTAAAGTCTTCTAATATTCTGGCTCATTTAGTAAGGATGTTACCATTTAGAACTGTGGTCTCATGTAAATGTTGTGTAAGTTTGTTTTACCTCTCTTCCTTCAATGCTATCTCAAGGGTTAGAAAAAGAACATGAAATTTTTTTTCCCCCTGTATCTCTTCCCTCTTAAATTTTGTACTTTGCTGGATATAATGTATACATGAAAACTGTTCTTAATATATTGATATTTACCATCACATTTTGTTACTTTATATTGGTATAAAGTATACCAATATATAAAAGTTACTTTATACTGGTATAAGATATAAGGTTTATATAACAACTTATACCTTATACATAATGATCTTGTTTTCATGTCGCCTTCTAATAGTTCATTTATGTAAGTCATTTAACCTATGGGTTATGCAGCTGCTAAGAGCAGATATAGATTGCTATATGGAAATTCAGTGGAGTGTATTGAGAGATGCACAGAACTGGGAGTCAGAAAACTCAGGTCTGAATTCTGCCACTTGAATGATCTGCTGGAAAGTTATCTTTTATTACCATCATTTTCTCCATCTGTAAGGTGAAAACAAAAGCCTCAGGGATGTTTGTGAGAATTAAATGGGACACTATGTGTGGAAACATTCTGCAGATTTTCATACGCTATACAATATAAAGTATTTCTTTTTCTTATGTCTTCAAAGTTCTTTGTCGACAGGACATTCTGTGCACGGAACGGACTGGACTGTCAGGAAAGGCTCCCTGAGAGACTTAAATTAATTTGGGCAGGTCATTTTTTTTTTAAAGTCACTCAATCATGTCTGACTCTTTGCGACCCCATGGACTACACAGTCCATGGAATCCTTTCCCTTCTCCAGGGGATCTTCCCAACCAAGGGGTTGAACCCAGGTCTTCCGCATTGCAGGTGAATTCTTTACCAGCTGAGCCTTCCTGGAAGCTCAAGAATACCGGAGTGGGCAGCCTATCCCTTCTCCTGGGCATCTTCCCGACTCAGGAATCGAACCGGAGTCTCCTGCAGGAGGATTCTTTACCAACCGAGCTACTAGGAAAGCCCGAGTCATATGTTCTACAGATTTTAAAGCATTACTCACAAAGTCCCAGTCCTCAGCCTTTTTGTGTTTCTCTTTAGGATACAAACGACTACAGTCCAATGCAATTTTTTGCCAAGGTGTTTTTCAGCATTTTCCATCTGCATGACCTCTTGCAGTTCCGCTGCTTCCTTCACCAGTTCACCCATGAAATCTGCTTTGTCAACTCCTTCTCGCACCCCGAGGTAGCTGTCATGCCTGGCACAGCCTCCCTTCTGAGCCTGGCCTGCCTTTCTCTCCGGTGGGCCCCTCGCCCCTCTGCTGGCCGCCCCGGAGAAGCGCAGTTGCTGGCACGGGCCCCAGACCGATGCCTGCCCGTCTCCCTTCCCCCTTCCTCTTGGAGCCAAACCATCACCTGCCCAGGGCCGGTGGCGGCTGCCCCTTGTCCGCGGCCTCACCCGCCGGCCGCTCGTGTCCCCCGTGGCCGCCTCGGCCGCGGCCCGCGTGCCAGCAGCCTCCGCGTCCTGCCCGCCGCTCTCGGCAGCCTCTCCCCGCTCCGCGCTCCCGCCCCTGCCCGCCGCCCTCCTCTCCTTCCCGCCCCGGTTCGCCCCAGCCCCGGTTCTCGCCGCGGCCCCTCTGGCCCGGCCTTCTGTGAACACCTGGACCCGTCTTTGGGGCCCAGTGTGTCCCTGTGTCCCCCGGGACAGAGCATCTTTGGGAAGCCAGCCTTTCCGTTGACTGGGATTTCCCTCTCGCCCCCAGGCCCCCGCCGCCTTTCCCGAGACCAGGTTTCCGTCTCGCCCCCCGCCCGGCCTCCCGCCGCCCCGCCCGGAGCCCCCAAAGGCAGGGTGCAGTAGTGATGCAGAGGGAATCCGGGGTGGGGGGGCGGCAGGCCACAGGCTTGATCCGGGGCCCCAGCAAAGTTTTGGCCGCCCCAGACTTGCCATCTCTCGCTCCTCAAACTTGGCCAGCGGGCCCGGACCCGCGCCCCCAGCGGCGCCCAGGGACGCGGGGGCTCCACGGATTCCCGGGGCCGCTCCCGTAGGCCGGACCGCTCCCCAGCCCACATCAGGGGCGCCGCCGGAGCCCCCCAGCCCCTTCCAGGGGGAGGGCGCACTTGTTTCTCGGCGCTCGGCAGAGAGTGGCCGATATCCAAGGACCGGGCCGCCCCGTTCTCCGGTGCACGCCTTGGGATCGGCTGTGGGTGTCAGGTTCCGACCGCGCTTCAACCCGGGCCCTTTCTCCCGGGGTGGCTGCTCGCAGCGCGGTTCAGTCGCGGTTCCCCTTTACCAGCCAGCTCCTTTAAGTAGCGCGCGTGCGTGTCCGGTTTTGTGTGTGTGTTCGTGTGCAGATGTGTGTGCGCGCGCGCACGAGTCCGGTTGTGTGTGTTTTCGTGTGCAGATTGTGTCTGCGTGTCCAGTTGTGTGTGTGTTCGTGTTCGTGTACAGATGTGTGTGTACATGTGTGTGTTCGTGTGCAGATGTGTGTGTTCGTGTGCAGATATGTGTGTGTCCGGTTATGTGTATGTTTGTGTGCAGGTGTGTGTGTGTGTGTTCGTGTGCAGATGTGTGTGTGTATGTGTGCGTGTTCGTGTGCAGATGTGTGTGCATGTGTGTTGGTGTGCAGATGTGTGTATGTGTGTGTTCGTGTGCAGATGTGTGTGTGTTCGCGTGCAGATACGTGTATGTGTCTGTGTGTGTGTCTGTGTGTGCGCGCGTGTCCGTGTGTGTGTGTGTCTCTGTGTGTGTGTGTGTGTGCGCGCGCGCGCGCGCGCCGAGCCCGGAGTGGGGCGGACCCCGGGAAGGCGGAGCTATGTAGATTCCGGCCGCGCGTTCGGAGGGCGCGGGGAGAGGGACGGCGCAGCCGAGGGAGCCGGAGCGGCGAGGCCCTGCCCGCAGCGGGAGGCGGCGGCGGCGGCGGCGGGGGCGGCGGACGCTCGGGCTGGAGGCGGCGGCGGCGACTCGGAGCCGAGAGGCGGCCCCGCGGGGGAACCTGGGCGCCACGGGCCCCCGAGGATGGTGAGGGCGAGCTGCTGCTGAGCTGCCTCCGCCGCGGCTTCTCCGGGGCTGCCAGGCGCGGGGGCCGCGGTCCCCTCCCCTGCCCGGCGTCGGGTGAACCTGCAGGCTCCTCGCCCACCGAGGACTTCTGAGAGGAAACCAGGAGGGCGGGAGAGACGAGAAGCCCGGGGGGATTCCGGCCATCCGCGGAGGCACAGTTCACTATGAGCGTACTCACCTCCAGCACTGGGAGACGGCTGGATTTCGCGCACCATTCGGGGATATTGTACTTGCAAACCTTGCTTTGGATTTTATGTGCTACCGTGTGCGGAACTGAGCAGTATTTCAATGTGGAGGTAAGAGCGCCGGGGCTTTCTTCCTTCCCCTTCGCCGGGGCTGCTCCCCGGACCGTTCCGTCCACTCCCTGGATCCCGGTAGCCCCCGGCCGCCGGGGTCTGCAGACATTGTTCCCCTTCCAGCCTCCGGGACCCGTGTTGAGTTTCCCTGCGCCTTAGGTGATGGATGCGCCTGAGACAGAATCCGTTATCCCCGGCAGCACAAAAGCGCGGGGCTGCGCGCTCAAAGACACGGTCGTGGCCAGTCCATTCTTTTTACCAGGAAGGAGGCGAACGCCTACCTAGAGCAAACGTGTAGTCGAATAAAAGCAGCCTGAGTTGGTGATAAATAAGCTGCTTCTGCTCGGGTAACACAGATCTCCCTGCTTGGCATCCTGGGCTTGCTGCCTTGGTATTGTTCCTGAAATCTTTCTCCCTCGGTTTTGTGTCTGACAAAGGAGGTTAAAAACCCAAGAGTCAGGGGGAGAGCGTGGGAACCCTTGATCTGTTTAATAACATGGCTTGGTGATAAAACACTTGCCTAGACAGAATCTTTTTCTCATTTAGACATAACTTAATACACGGTAACTGGATCTGGCTACACAGAGGGCAGGGACGCCGTCTCATTTTAAAGTGTCTTCTCTTCCCCTCCCCCGCCGAGTGAAAATAAATGTGACCCAATGTAGTAGTTCCGAGGTGTGTCTTTAATTGGATTTCACGCTCTCACGGCAAAACAGAGAGAATGTAGATTGCCGTTTGTTTTATGTGGATAGCTTGGGGAACCAACAGACGCAAAGCAGAGGGGCAACTTGAGGATAACGACTTGGCAGAGCTCTGCCAAAGTACCCTTCCTGTCATCAACTCAGCACTAAAGTCAGTACCGCGCAGTACATCAGTGGATCCTTGTATACACCTGGTTTTTAGTTTATCACCCACAGGGCGGAGTACAAAGAAGAAGGGCTGATTGTAAAGACAAAGTATACCCTTTTTGGTTAGATCTTCCGTCACCTCAAAAGAATTATGATTAAGTCTCTGAAGGCTAATGTGGTTTTCTTCCCCCTATATTTTTGACTCTTTAAAGCTTATTGTCATTTTGTTGGGAGTGTGTGTGTTTACACAACAGCAGAACCTGTTGCACAGTATTTGACCATGTTTCATAGAACAGATTTATATACAAAGTGTGCATAATAAATGGTTTATGTGAGGGCACATTCTGAATATAATTCTGCATTTGTGTGAACTGTTCTTAGGACTGTGTGTAGTGATGGTTGGTAGAGAAAGTATTTGAAAAAGTAAGAGCTGTCATCAAAAGCTAACTTTGCAGATATTAAGTATGATCATGTTACAGCAAAACCCCAATTCAAACCAAAATCCTTTGAAAAATACAACTTTGTTTTTCTGAATACAAAGAGGAAAGGAACTGTTAAGTCCACACTTTCCCTGGTTGCCAATTTGAACTTTTGGAATTGCATGCCACAGATGGATTTTTGTTTCTAACACTCAGGAGATAATTTAATGTGGAAATGTAGAAGTAATTAGTTCATAGACTAGAGGAATGAAAGTGGCAAGCTGCTGTTTATAAGGTTATAAAGTGAAGGGCCTATTGCTTCAGGTTGGAGTGCTGGTGGGGAGGTGGGGTGTTGGGAGGTGGTTAAAAGTAGGGGCTAGTTTTTATCCTGCTCCGAAAAGGAAGGGGGAGCCTGGGTTCATGGCTGCTTGTTTTGAAAAAGTCTTAGATTTGCTTTCAGAGATTATTGGAATAACATCAGTGTATTGATGATTATTTTAGGTTTCCTTTTGAGCCCAAACATAAGTGGGCTTGTATTTGTTCATAGTTTGAACCTCTCATTCAGTTCCAGAAGATATTATTATGTGAGAAAAAGTTATGATTTTGCTAACCAAGATTTTATTTTAGAATTTCCATCATTCTCTTTCTTCAAGATATATGTTGAAAAGTGGTTCATGGAAAGAATAGCTTTTTTCCCCCCACTTGGAGATTATTTAAGTTCATCCATATTTTTTACACAATGCAAAAATTTAATTATGAAAGATGGAAGCATGTGCCATATCTGATACAAAGAAGATTTTCTAAGATTTAAAGTAGATTATGTTTCAGAGTTTGCATTATTCCCAAATAGTTTTTTTTAAAAGCATTTGAACATATCATTAGTTGGGTTTATATACTTATATATGTGTAATAATAATCTCTTATTTTTTTAAAATAAGGATAGCTGCTAGTTAATTCAGCATACTATAAAGAACGTAGGATGATAGGATATTTTCTGACATGACTTTCTGCCTGATTCACTTTTATTAGATGTTTCTTTTTGGTAGGAAACACTAATGGGAAAAAGAATCCATCACATCTTCTTCAAAAAAGGCATCTATATAGTGTTTCCCATTCTGGTTGCAAAACATACACTGAGAATGCTTTATTTGATTGGTGGACCGTCTTAAAATAAACAGTAATGGTATCAATCATGCATGAAGCTTGTATCATAAATTTTTTTGCCAGTAGGCACACTAAGTTATTATAGTTGGAACGAAGCTTCTAAGAGAAGCTTTCTGTGCTGACACCTGCAATTGCAATGCTTTAATTCTTGGTGAACTTTACAATTGGTGGGACCCTCATACTTTTCCTTTCTACAATTTAAGGTTTAAAAACATATGTTCCCTCCCCACTAGGTGGGACTAAGTTGGCTAGAAGTATTCATGTTATCTCTCACATGTCTGATTTTTGAGAGTATAAATATTTGAGGTTTTTGATTACTCAAGTGGGAGATATTTATTAATTTGCTGATGAAAGCCTTTTACAGAGAAAGAGTGCATTTTGTTTTTTTGTTTTATTTTTAAGAAGGAAAAAGGAACATCTCTTACAGCTAAGAAGAAGGGTGAGACACCTGAAGTAGTACTATGGAAGACATTCAATAAATTCCCCTCCTTATTTATACTTCAGGTAGAACACTTTTTAATGTTAACAGTTCTGTATACATTTGTTGATTTTTGTATATCATTGGATCCAGTTTTGGGGAGTGGGTCTTTCTCTATGTAATCATTATAATGATGCAAAGGAGGTACATTATTAATATTAACTAAAACTCAAAGACTGTTGTCATTCAATTAGAGGTGTTCGTTAGTCAGAAGAAGCTAAATTGCTAACAAAGAATCCTGAGTTAATCTCTACATTCTGAAAAGTCATTTTGTCTGTAGAATAATGTTCTTGTTGTAGTGGAAATTCTAATGATTCTAGAACTCCTTAACACTGCAAGCACTTTTATCATGAAACTTAAGGTAAAATATAGTTCATAATCAATAACTTTCATCATCAACTTTCATAGTTTGTCAGGTGTTAAGTATTTATGTGAACAACATGTTCTTTATTTTTTTTTAAATAATAGTACATATTATTCCTCTAGCGAGGAAATTTATTTTAAACCAATTTAATGGTAAAATAAAAACATGTGATACTCTGAATGATGCACATATAAAAAACCTGATAAAGCAAAAATTTATTGCGTTGTCTGTTTCTTAAAGAAAGAAGAGAGATTCTAGATTTTAAAAGGCAATTCTATGACAAATACTGTGAATTGTGAGTGTAATCCTTCTACATTTTTCTTGCAATATGTTTCTTTAGTATTTATTTACCTTTCTCAGGTTTATCTGAATCTACCTATAAGTTCAGAGTTTGCTTGGATTAGCTTTGTACTGCGTATAATCTTAGCAGTAATTAGTGGTGAGACATTTCAGAGATAAAAAAATTGTATTTTACAGATTTTAAAATGTCAGATGTTGGGACCTTTTCCTGTTTTTGTTTTCACTTGCTTAAATAACTAACATGCATTATTTTATTTGCTAATGGAAGGATGGTGGCAACATTATCTGGTCAGCCTCCTTGAATAAGTTACTCTAACTATATCCTTTAATTCTCCACTGTAACAATTTTATACAAGTCAATAGCAGGTGCTGCATAACTGATTCATTAAGGTTTTTAACCTGCAGCAAGATTCCATGCTTTGGAATCCCAAGTGTGCTGGCCATTCAGAATATCATTAGGGTCAAGAACTATGACCAGGAGACCACTAGTCCTCAGGGTCTTCAGCTTCTCCTGTGTGCTCCACCTTAAATGTGTGTTTCTGTATTCAGTGTTGCTTGGTCAGGATGCCCAAATCTAGGGTTTTTCATGAAATTCTTACAGATGAGCCTATACGAGTGAGGTGTATTGTCTCTTATTACCCCCGAGAAATCCAGAGAACAACCATCCAAGCCCATCCCTCTGTACAGCTGGGTTTTCTTTTTTAGTCTTTTCTTTCTTATCAAGGAAGAATAGAGTTGGTTTCAATAATAACTTTTTAATCTTTAGAGTCAGGTTAAAAGTGACAGAGCTAAAGTTACTTTTCCTTTTTCATGCTGTTTCAGGTTAGTAACAGAAGAAAATTTCAATGTACTTTTTCAGTGGTATAGTTATTTTCTCTTAAGTTGGATTAATCAATTATTTTATGTAACTTTATTTTTAAGGCCTGACTTACTTCAGAGTACTACTCAAAATGTACCTCTTCAGAATATTTGGTAAATGACCAGTTGAAATTATTTCTGGACTGCAAAAAGAGACACGGGACATTTGAATCAATTAGTTAAATTTGTTCAATGTCAAAAGAGAAAGATTTATTTCATTGTGCTCCTTCACGAGCTTTCTGAGGCTTTTTAGCACAGTTATTTAAAATTGAGATTGTCCTCTTTTACGTTACATTGCATCACAATTTATTTTAAATATCTGTGAATGTAATTATATTCATCAGCTCATTTTTATTGTGGTATACTGTAGTGATTAAGAGCACATGTTCTGATTATATAGCCATAAGAAAGAATGAAATAATGTCATTTGCAGCAACGTGGATGGGCCTAGAGATTGTCATTACTAAGTGAAGTATATAAGACAAAGACAAATATCATATGGTATGATTTATATGTGGAATCTAAAAATATGATACAGATGAACTTATTTACACAATAGAAAGAGACTC